CTACAAATATTTTTGTAGTCCTGGCAGTTTCTGCGCCCCCGCGCGCGCTTCCTTGGCTGCTCCTGGGCCGGTGATCATAAAGTTAGTTCGGCGCATTCGACGGCGAGTCGACACTTTCTATTTTTGAGTTTCACTGTCTCCTTCGTCCAGAGTACCGTCTTCCATGCACTCCTTTGAAGTCCTTCCGTCTAGCGCTGGCGCTGACGACTGTTATTGACTATGTCCAGACAGGCGACGTTGTTTGGAAAGGCGGTGAAGAAGCAGCCCTTTTTCAAAACCGCTGGTGACTCTGACATGATGTCACTATGACTCATGGACCAGCACTGATTGAGTTTGTTCCATATATGTATGTGTTGGGTTGTGTGTCCATCAATAATATTGGGGGGGGGGGGGGGGTGGGTGGGTGGGTGAGGAAAAATTTGAAGCTACTACGGATTGGAAAAAACTTTCGATAATTGCGGACGACCCCTTAGGAACTTCCCTTGTGATTGTGACCTTCTACCCTTCCTAACTTTGCTGATGTACTGAGTCAAGGCTCAGAGGCTAGAAAAGCGCTTGGACCATGACAGATCAATGACCCGTTTTGTACCCAGGATACGTTTATGCTCGTACACAAATGTACGCCTTTGTCCAAGATAGCACGAGCACAATCAACCACTAGGCGATGTAAATCATTAGCCCTTTACTAGTCTACGATAAGCAAACCGATACTACAGTATCGGTACGTTTCGCCCTCATTTTTTTAGAGTCTCATTGCGAGGAGACAGCGAAAACAGCACTATACGCGTAGCTGAGGTCCAACACTTTCTGACGGTATACAAAACAACCATACTTACCTTTCAAATGTTTGCCGTATCGATTGATTGAAGTTTGTTGACATTGGAAAAGATGACCATCCTCCTTGCACGCACTCTGAGAATGCAAGTGCATCTCTTGAGGCCGTGTTTGACAAGCGTTCTGTGTGAGCCGTCAGATGCGAAAAGGGTGCTTATTGCATCACACAGCAAATCGAGTAAAGTGCGTCAGAGTGACAGGCAGTCATGTACCTGTCACGTGCATGAGTGAATCTTGACGTGACGTCATTTTTCGATTGTTGCGGGGTGAGGGTGCATCCCACGGCGCTGTTACGTTCACTGGAGCACTGCTGAGACTCCCAGGTTTCCGTAGATACTTCAACCGGGATGATACTCCAAAGCACGGCGGAGTTACATACAAAAAACTACCTTTTTTGGTGGCGCGTGCTCCACTCTGATTTTGAACGAAATTATTTTGTCTCCTGCTTGACTTCTCTGTTCTATTACAATTAATTTCAAGATGAGCAGGCAGTCTTACTTTAATGTGGATGAGGCTTTAGCCAAAGTTCTTCAGGACATGGATGTAGAATTTTTTGGCGGCTCTCACTCAGAGTGCGAGCCAGACGAGGTATTTGACCCGAGCGAAAGTGCAGCACCCGAAACAGCGATGCAATTTCTGATGAAGAAGAGGACAATGCAGAACCAGTCGAAATCAACGTTGCTGAAGTTACGGAGCTCTTTTTTGGCGGCTCATCTTCCCAAGAGCAAGCGTGTGCTGGTGCGGCAACAGCAGCAGCAGCAACAGCAGCTCCTGTGCAAGCGATTCCTGCGTGTAGATGCCGAGATGACTGCCTCAAACAATTTTCGTCAGCTCGAATTACGGAGAGCAGGTTGAATTTTATGGAGATGGAGAAAGAGCTGAAGGACTGGGACTTGTTGAAAGTGGAAGATACACAGCTGAAGTAAACTCCAAGGGCAAAAGGAGACGGAGGCAGTCATTTAGCTATTCATTTGCTGGTGAGGAGGTATGTGCAGGCGCTTTCCGCTACGTTTACGATGTTGGCACTAAACATCTGGAGAATGCCAACAAGCGGAAGAAACCACACAATGCCTTGCCGTATCCTGCAGTTGAGAATGTTGTCATTTTCCTGAAAGTATTTGCTGACCGCTATGGAATACCGCACCCAGCTCCACTACGTGGCAGAGCAGGCACGCCACTGATCTACCTGGCAGCGTCCAACACCAGGATGAGTTATGTCCACAGCCGCCTCTTACTGAGAGCTAGTGCACCTGACACATTGCTTGTCTCCACAGCAGCATTTGCTATGCCGTACTGTTTTGTACATGTACCATAATATGCACAGGTAGAACAACAATAATTCTTGCTGTAAATGGAGCATGATATTTAACCCTTTGGTGCCTGACTGAATTTTAAATTTTTCGTAGTTTTGGCTCAATTTTTTGGAAAGCCTATATCTCCGCAACCGTTTAGATGATGTAGCAACAAAAGTATGTATTCTGAATGGCAAGACACAGCAAAATCCGATTTTTGAATTTTCAAGTCAGAAAAATTTACAATAGGGTCAGGGTACTGCGCTGGTCCAAGAACATCTTGGTCGCCAACACCACTCAGCACGCCGAATCCACTACCTCGTCCACGGCCTCCGCCACGGCCTCTGCCACACGCGCCACGCACGCCACGATCAGCTGTTCCATCAGCTGGCTGAGCTCGACCAGCGCCGCGAGCAATTCCTCCGCGCAGCGCGAACGGAGCACGTCCACGAACTCGCTGCGCTTGCCCTCGCCCTACAGTTTCTTGAAGCTCATTGTCGGAAAATGTGTCCTCGTCTGAAGAGCTGCCATTCTCAAGAAATTCACCGAAACCCAAATCATCGTTGAGTCGGTCTTCCTCATCTGATGACGGCAGGTTTCCGTCAGAGAAAAGAGCGTCAGATTATTCACCATCGTCGTCTTCTGATTCTTCTTCTACAGGGGCATCATCGGCCTCCAGCTCTTCAAACAACTCAAGCGCTCCTGCAGCATCCATGACGGAGGTCAGCTGTAGTAGCCATGAACTGTACTAGTCGAAAATGAAGCGAAACAGCAACGTTTTGTTCATGTTGCAGGACGCTCGCGTAGGCTGCCACACTCGATTGACTTCCGCTGATCTGCGCGATCGTCGTTGATCACGACTCGACTTTTTCAAATGCAACCCCCCTACTTTCTCTATTGCTATCTACAGGCCAGCTACTGAAGGTTCTCTGTACAAAAAATCAGGCACCTGCGATGTACGAGACTGGCTCTGTGCTCAATTTTAGTATGCACTGTCAGCATAGGTCGAAATCGACTTACCGCCACCTAAGGGTTAATGCTGATTTTACTTTGCAATTGTAACCCAGCTGGTGTTTCTGGACCATGGTAAACTGTGATTAGTCACTTCTGCTGCTTTAATGATGCCAATGTGTTCACCTCAGTTACACTTACTTACAAAGAACTGTCGCAACCAGCATTATTCCGTGATTTGTCCGGCCAATCAGGAGAGCAATTTTTCTGCAACTTAGACCGGCGTAAAAGTGGCAAAAATTCGGGATACTAAATTGACGATATCTTCATGATGGGTTTAGATTTTTGAGTCCACAGCAACTCTGACAAGGACTTGCTCAGTGAGATCAGCTGATTCGCCTGGCCGTGAGAATCCCGGCATGCGTAAGCTCGCACCTGAGTACTCATCTGAGCGAGAGTGAATCTGACACGAGCAGCTCTGAAATTAACGAAGGTAAACTTTGATCTCGTGGAGCGGGAATTACTGGTACTGGTGTATCGCTGATGGCGGAATTGTAGAGCGCCTACACTTCTGGTAAAGACGTAGCCCTTACCTGACTTCGGGTTTATCACCAACTTGGTACACCCTTTGTGCTGTCATATCCGTGTACTTCATTCGCAATTACATTTTTCTCAACTTGAAGGGCTGCCGTGGGCCGTATCCTTTTCAGGAAAGAGTCATATTTGAATTTTCTGGACACATTCAAGCATACCGATTTTAACCCTTTACCGTTTGTACGTACAAATTTCGACCGCTCGCGGTTGATGACTTCTATGCGCACAGCGCTGGACTGGTTCACTGCAGAGAGCTGGGGTTTTCCCTACTGGTAGCCAAGATGTACGCGCAGAGGGTGCCGACAAGTTTTTTTGTGTGATGCAATGTAAAAAATCGCGAAAATTGCAACTTGAAAATGCGCTTTGGGAAAAGTGCGTACCCTGCGACTTTTGGTATTGCCTGCAGATTATTTCGACTTTTGCTTGAGCTTGCCTCACGACTGTCTGCCCTGCTGTGCAAGCAATGGACGCGGAGTAAACCCTTTCGCTTCTGGAGACCCTTCCTGAAGACTTTGTCGCTGCCTCATCCAGCGAAGATGAGTTTGTGGAGCCAGACAATCCCGTTGAAAATATTCATTCTGACGACGACCGCGACGATGACATGGCGAGTGAAAGCAGCGCCAGTGAGATTGACATGGATGTCACAGACGACGACAGTGTCGCCGAGATGAATGCCACTAATGGTGGAAGGGGACGTGGCAGAGAGAGAGGATTCGGCCGTGGAATAGGCCGTCGTCACGGTAGAGGTCGTGATGCACAGGTACAATGTACAGCCAGCGGTGCAACCTGCACTAGTCGATATTTGCAATACTTGGGACAATGCTTACACCGCTGTGACTGGTAACACTCCTGCATTCCACCCAGATAACGAACCTGGTATCCACTTACCTGAGGGAGCCACTCCAGTGCAAGGATCTGATTTATTGCATATTGCAACAGTTTGCCCGATCGGCAATAAATACAAATAATTATTAGTGCTAAATATTGAAATCTGTGTTCGTTTTCTGGACTTGAAAGTTGTTGCATTGCATTCCTGAGGGTTTTACTTTCAGAATCACCCCATTTTATTATAAAAGTGAAAAATAAAAAAAGTTACGGCATGAACAATGACGGTCGGTTTTTGCTGTACAAATACCTAAAACGGTAAAGGGTTAAAAATGAGATTGTTACGCAAACTTACATCACATGGTTGTTGACGTATTTCTCCTTGTGTGTTCATGTATTTGCATGATCACCCCTCACTGACATCGAGTTAGACCGGCAAAGGGTTTAACAGGTGTTTGAACATGGCCACGTTTTTATGTTCTTCATTGCATTGGGCAGATCATTTCAACTGCAATGATCCGCAAGGTCTCTTCTACATCAGCAACCCTATTTGGACAGGGACATTACCTGGAGATGCTTTCTCGCGCTGCACCAGCGGAAATGTTTTTTTACCAGACTCAGAAGCAAGTTCAACCTGCGTCCAGAATTACATTGCCCATATCAACTCTCAACTCGGTACCATGAGTACAGTATATACAGATTTGAATGGAGCAGTGTCATGCTACCCAAGGGTGGATCCATGCCCTTCCACAGGAACGATTGTCATGTGCCGCAATACCCTATCTAGCGCTAGCAATGGTAAGGCATAAATCCCAACCCCCTACCCCTTCCAAAGCGTTAATGGACCATTTTTTAGGGTTTAACTGCGAGAAACATGGATGCAGCAAAAGGGAATTCCCGGTCTTTGACCACTTCGATGGGATTGATCTACGCACCTCCCCCTGCTTCTAGGAGCTGCATCTGCGCCTTGAAGGGTGGTGATGATTCGAAAAACTTGGTATCTACCCGAGTCTCACCGAAACCGTATTTTTTAAACTCACTAGATATGTACAGGTCCTCCCTCGTTAGTAGATAATCTCTGGGACATCGAAAAAGTTATCTTATAACGAGACTTTTCTTGTAGCAGGACTTACAGCTTAAGGTGAAATAGGCACTACTTCGTACTTACCAGGGTTACCCTCGATACAACATATATTGTCGATGCTTCAACTCGTTATAAGATAATTGAAAATCTCCAACATAACTCTTCCTAGGATTCAAAGGATCGTCCATATTCAAGAATACATAGATATATTACGTTTCGTCTTTCTGCTTTATCCTACGTGTTTTGGCCTTGGCCCTGCATGGTCAGTATTATCTTATACTGAGGGTTTGGCACTCCAGGGACCTGGGCAAGGGATCGTTATAACGAATTTTGTGTACTAACGGATTATGTTGTAACCGGACCTGTAAATAGTTGTATAGACCACGTTTCGCCAGAGGATTTCAAATTTCTATTTACTAACGGGGTTTATGTACTAACCGGACTCGTTATAATGAGGGAGGACCTGTACTGTTTGTGGGGTGTGCCATAGACTGACAGTGTGTACAGGTTTCTGCACGAGTACGAGGGCAGTACCGCGGAATCCGGCCCGCGCCGAGATAGCGGCAAGGGCTGGATGAACAGCGGTAGTGGCCGAGTATGAGTGACTGGAACGTGTTTCTCGTGTGCATCCAAGCCAAAAAAAAATAGATACATGACATACACATCTGCGGTGTGTGTTTGTGATTATTTTCTGGTACAGTAGTGGTATTCCATTGTGCTTTTTCTCTCTTGGTGGCCATTGCACGGCTGGCACACTTGGAGGGAGAAAATCTGACGGGGGTCCAGGGGTGTCCCGCGGAGAAGATTTTTAGGAAAATGGCTTGCTGTTGGGGCCCCAGAACAAATTTTTAACGGTCCACACACATGCAAGCATGCGTGCATTTAACAGCTGCATGTACATGTACAATGACCGGCCAAACGTGACCTCAAAGCGCCGAATGGCCAACGGGACTAAAAAGCGCTCAAAATACAATATTCGGTTGTCCCTCTTTGGGAACAAAATCGGTCGGTTTGTGCGACAGGCGATCAAAAATTGCACGATTTCCGAAAAATCGGAGCAAGTGGCTGCCCTGCGGCATTGACATTGTGGACTTGGCATCGGGCATTCTCACTGTTCTGTTCCTACGGAATTTTATCAGAGCTTGATCGGAAATCTCGGCAAATTGCACGGGTCCAGCAGGTTGCTGAGCATTGCACGCTTTGGTTGAGGCTCATCCAGCTCGCCTAAGATCTCTTTCGCGAGCGACTCCGCAATACAAGTTTAAGTCTCTTCCTTAACTTTTTGGAGGAGCTTGTTCACATCGCCAGTAGCAGTGGAATCCGTTCCACTGCCCATCATCAAGTTTTGGTGGGCAGTGGAATCCGTTCCTGCCTGTCGTCAATTGATGACGGGCAGTGGATCCAGTTCCATCACCTTTGACCAGGCAGGACCGCGTTTCCAGCCTGTGCTGTTTGATCTGTCATTGGTCCACTCCAAGGCGACAATCACGTGACATGCGGGAAAAATTTCATCCTAACCTGTGTGATACAGCCCACCTTGAAAAGCCCTGTTACAGAATAATTCCTGTTTTAATACACACATTCTCTACTAACTATCGAGGGTGGTTTCTTAAAAGTTATGTTGTAAGCGTCCCTGAAAGCGGCTGCATAAAACGCGTTTCATCAGAGGATTCGAGATTTCTCTCTTTCATCAGGGTTTATGAGCGTAATGAATAAATGTTTTATTCATCTGCAGCTTCCACCAACTTACGATGTCCAGAAAATCTACAGATCTCAAATGGCAAAGTACTCTACCCATCAGGAAACGTTTTCCCATCACAATCATTCGACACATGCAACCAAGGATACTACATCAGTGGCTTTAGACTTGCGGAGTGCAGCCCTGCGGGTGCCTGGGGGAACCGTGTGGCCACTTGTATAGGTATGGTACAGGTGTATCTTGCCTGTATACTGCACAGAGAAGATATTTCTATCTCCCGTATTTTCCGGAGTATAATCACTTTGAACACTCAAATTCACCCAAAAGAGAGTGGTGGGGTGAGACTTCCAATGAGATGATCAAATCATCGGTGATAAAGAGGATAGATTTCCCTTTTATGTGGCAAAAAAATGTGCGGTGTAAGCAGAAGTGCGGCTTATACTCCGGAAAATATGACATCTGGTGGTGATATTGCATAACTATGCCATTTGTTGTATAACATCGGGGAAACAGTCTTTAAACCCCAGGGAAATCTACTCCTAAATGACCAAAAATGGATATGCCTACATATTTTTGTTTTGTGTACAAGTACTGTATAGCAGGAAATATTCGGACGAGAGATTTTCAGGCAATGCCGAATATCGAGTATTCGTACGGATTTTATTTTCGCACCGTGATGCATGCTAAATGCACGTGATCGCATTCAGTACGCATGTATAGTGTACATAATGTCACATGAACAAATTTTAGTACGGATATAATTTTGGTACAAAAGAGGCCTTCCGAAAATGTCCTGTTGTACAGTATTTGGAAGGTATTGAAGGAAGGAACCATAGATGGTCAACCCTCCCCCGGTTTATTACTGCAGTCCATTGATCGGAACCAGTCCCGTTGGATTTTGAAAATGTGATATGGGCGGAATTGAGGATCCAAACCCGCTTTAAATCTAAAATATCTGCGTTTTGGATTTGCTTCTCCATACATGTTGCCATGGCATACCTGTCCTAACTTTGTAACACCGGGTTGAATTTCTATTTCCCTGTTGTCTGATGATTGGTTCAGCCATGAAACTCTGAGTCACAACGAAACTTGCCCAAGGTTTTCTTTGTGTGCCTTTGTGCATCATGATTTCCCTGTTCTTGGACTTTTCTGGCCTCAAATGTGGCAAGGAATAATTGCATGGGTCACCTAATGCAGGATGTTCTGTTGTTTTCACGACATCTGCAACTATGTGTGGGAGACACCAACAAGTTAGGGTGCCAGTTGCCAATGAATGGACTGTACCACACTCACTATGCAGAACCCATGGCGGTGGTGATATGTACCATTAGTACTTTGTGCATACCATGAGCATTGGATAGTTCTTGGTGTAAGCGACCGTAACTCTGGTACGACATTGTCATCACCATGAAAAGCAGCCCTTTGGAAAGTCTTGGAAAGGCCTTTCCTGCTGTAGTGCATTGCTTAAAAAAATAATCCAAAAACGATCAATTGCATGTGGACTTCGAACGGAAATCATTAATTTTAGCAGTTTCCATCCAGCGGTTTGTGTGTTTTTATATATGTTTCATATATGAGTGTATGTCTTTCTGTTTGTGGGTATACTCAATTCCAGGATACAGTTGTCCTGCACCAACACTAGCTAACGGTCAAATCACGGGTACTGCTCCACTATATACGGCATCATGCAACAGTGGATACCTGCTATCTGGCAGCATCAATGTTACATGCCTAACTGCAACCACAAACACACCTTTACCAACATGTATCCGTATGTAATTTATCTGTGTGGCATGTGTGTTATTTGTCGTTCACATCATCATGATCCAAACATGACGTTGTCACTTTGGATCTAGGCAACTCTAGGAAAACTATGATGAATTTGTACTCAATTTGTATAATTTTGTTACTAGTCATCTCAACAGTTCTCAAGTAAGATCCAAGGATTACAGAAGCTTCCAGTTTTCACATCCAGTTTTCACATCATCATTAGGTTATGACGTTTCAAAGTTCCGAGAAGGGGTGAAAGGGGTGATCCGGGTACCCGGGTACCCGTTTGTTTACAGTACGGTATTTGAACCCTTTACCGGTCTACCATAAGCGTACCGATACTATAGTATTGGTACACTCGGGGGCTGATTTTGAATGGTTTTGTTGCTAGGGGAGATCTAAAATGGTGTCCTCCGCGAAGCTGGAACTCACGGCTTTCCATCGATGTACAGGAAGCCTAAGGTTCACATACAATTTTTTTGGGAACGAGCGCCTAGAAGTTTGAGAAGTTTGAGAAGAACGTCCTCCGACATGGCTCGCAGGTTCAGTGCAAGTGAGGCGCTTGATGCTGTTTTCAGGCCCGATTCTAATGAAAGCGGAGGTATTAGCAGTGACCCTGACTCTCCTGGCAATCTAGGCATGTCTTCTGACGAGGAAAGTGACCTATGTCCTGCGGAGCGGAAGAAGACGACATGCGCAGGATGAAATATTTTGAGTATCTGCATCGGAAACAGGAGTAAGACGATGATGGCTACAGCGAAGAGTCATTTTTGAGGATGACACTTTTATCGAACGTAAAAAAATTAACCCTGGTAGTTCCACGATCTGCAGTGACGAGGATTTCTAGTCTGATGACAACCTGGGTATAGATTGGCATCGACAATGTTGTTTGTTTGTATACTGTATTTCAGTATGCAACACTGACTTGGGAGGTGAGTCGGCCAATGATTTGGCCAGTGTGGACATCGCTGCATATATCCGGGACAATGCCAGTATTGGTTGCAAGTGCAAAAACAATCAATGGGCTCTGCTGCTCCCTGAAGTCGATAATTTGAATACCCTTATGCGGAACATTCGCTAGAACAAGCAGTAGGCAGCGAAAGCAGTACTCTCTGGCGAGCGGAGAAAACCGTGTGCAGATGGGCTTTGGTGTGGAGAATATGAGTGCAACGTTGAGTATGTTGAGAAAGACTGTGCGCAGCAGTGTATACAGTATCTGAAAGTACAGTTTAAGTGCGATGGAGAGCATGTGGAGTACCAACTTCTTGGGACGTCCACAGATGTTGACCGTGTTTCGCTGGTGGTTCTCCAGTGCTGCTCCAACCAGGAGGTATTTCGGACACCCAGCTCAGCTGCCTATAGAAACTTTGGATGTGGCGGAGTACCTGTCAGCTCATGAAAAACTGACCCAGAAAGGATGAACCAAGGGACATATCAACTGTATACAAAGATGATAATCCCATTGTTTTAAATAGAATTTCGCCAGTTCAACATTGCTGCATATAATACCATTGTAGCAACACTTAGACATTTCAGATCAATCTAAAATTTTCAGACAGTGAACATTAGGTGTGTTTGATCGTCTTTGAACAAAAAACTGAAAATCAAATTTTTGGTCTGTGGTCATATTTTAGCGTGCTCTGGCTCATGTATTTTTCTGGTTGTTCGTGTGTTTGTATATTTGTGTTTGTTCTCATCTCTAGCATACAGTTGTCCTGCGCCAACACTAGCTAACGGCTTAATAACGGGTACTGCTCCTGTATACACGGCGTCATGCAACACTGGATATCAGCTATCTGGCAGCACCACTGTCACTTGCATGGATGCAACCACAAACACACCTGTACCAACATGTGTCGGTATGTAATCTATCTGTGTGGTGTGTTTGTTAATTGACCTTCTCAAGGTCCTGATCAGATCGTTATCAGGTTGTACCTTTGGACCAGGGTGACTCTTGGGAAATTATTCGGACTTACTATTCTACTGCCAGTTACCCTCTCAACAGCTTTCAAGTGAGAGCCAAGGATAAGAGAAACTTTGACATTTTTCATCAAAATCATGTTATAATCGTATCCAAAGTCACCTCATTCAAAATTCTGAGAGCCTGATGATCGTTATTATTTGTATTGATGACAGGTGTCCTTTTGTTGATGACACTGTTCAATTAGGAAAAACGACTGCTATGCGATTGTTGAACAATTCTATGACTACAGCGAAGGAAGTCATTTGTCAGAGGATATTTTGATGCTGTAGGATAAAAATTGGACGAGAAACCTTAACCAGTGGCGGGTTAAGGGGGGAGGGGGCGCCCCCCCCCCCTCAAAAGTTTCGACCTAGATTTCGAAAAATGAAAGGCAGGGCTAGCTAGGCTCGGGTCGCGCACGCGCAGCTTGAAACGATCGTCCAAAAGCGGTTGCACGGTAGATCTACGGTGCTCGAGCTGGTGTTGATTGTAGATCTACAACCTACAGTCTACATAGTACAGTGAGCTTGCACGGCTACAGAAACACGGTGACCTGACTGTGTACACTGTACTGTTCCCTGTGGGGATCCCGGGACGCGCTCGACGCGTCTTCTACGTACAAACATCGTACAAACATTGAAGAAAAGTCTTCCAGTCAACCAAAACACGATTCGAATGCCAAGGGTCCAGGCAATCATCTTCGTTCAAATAGTGTTTTGGTTGACTCGAAGACTTTTCTTCGATGTCTCAGCGACATCCCATAAGGCCAAGCTCTAGCCAGCAGAGCCGGCAAATTAGAAGTAACAGTTTACAATCAGGGGCGTCGGACACGCTAGGGTCACTACGAACGGTATTGACCATACCACTATTTGAGGCATGGGCAGCAAAAACCAGGGTTAGGTGATATTTGGCGAAAATGAGTTTTTGATGGCTTTGAACTGTCCACTAAATGAGTGATCTATGGGCCAAATTTTGGAGCTCTGGGCACCTTCCAAGGTGGTAAAAAGAACGCCCGAAATGATGGGTCACGGTCAACAAAAATGGTCAGCAAAAAAGGCAAAATGGGACGCAGTTACAGCTAGCTCTAATGGAGTGACTGAGAATAATTTAGCATATTTATAGGTCTTCAGGGAAGCACAGAGTACTCTAGTTGATATTGTACTAGTTTATAGTAACATTGTTGCCTGCACTTGCTGCAATGTTACTTGAAAACTCAATCCCTGTCATGTGCAGGTCTGGTGTTGTATGCAGACTTGTCAGACAGAAAGAAGCCAAGTAACTGACGATTTACATGGCTGGGAAGAATCTGCAACTTAGTACAAGACTAGAATATGCATGCTGGGCCAAGCCAGATACATCCACCAAGCATGTCTTGCTCTCCTACGCACAGCAGCTCGTAGATACATGCATTATACTGTGACAAATTTCATGCGCACCGCAATCGTGCATGTATACTTTCAACAATTTTATTCACAAAATATCTTGTATCAAGTAAGGTTTAGTTCATTCAGGGCTGTCTCCGTATCTCACCAACTAACTTATCCAGCTGCGAATAGTCGCCACGGAGTATTGAATCTCGTTCGTCACTCTCAGCGCTGCTGTCCGCGTCGCCACTTCGTGTCACGGAGCTCTCAAACTCATCGTCTGCGCTGCCTCCGCTGATGGCTTGTCATCTGAGCGAAACCTCTTCACTTTCATCTGATCCTTCTTGTGGGGGACTATCGCAGGTAGCGGAGTATCTCTGGAGGTCCAACTGCCAAATATTCTAGTCGCTCGTTCTCCATCAAGAATTTGTGACGGGATCGTTCCGCCAAGAAATTATTTGTTCCGCTCTCTTTTGAGCGCATGATATGCAGACGCTACCCAGAGCGCAAACGCCTCCATGGTGGCTGAAAACGCCTACCTGGACATCCCAAGTGCTTGGTGGATAAACTACAACGGCGATGACAACAAATTATAGCGAAGCCATCAAGAGAAGGGCACTTTCAAAGCGATATCGCAAGAAGTCTTTCTGCTTTGATCACGGTGACTAAAAAACGACATCGGTTCGGTTTTTCGCAAATATTGGCATTTTGAAAAATCGCCAGTACCCCGGTTCTTGCTGCCGATGCCTCATTTGTCCCGGGCATGGTAGCTCTACCCTGGGAATAAACAAAAGGCACTGATTTGTGCTCTAAATTTTGATAATTTTCAGAGGAGCCACCAACTCCACGAGTAAATTGTACTTGACGTGGTTGCCCGTACCTCCCTAAAATACCTTCCGACGTTGCCCCTGACGATAATTATGTACAATATTGCTGCATGTACAGAAATACTGCTCGTGGTGTGTGAGATTTACGGCTCCTTGACATCGGCTTTAAAAAATGGCTGATCTGGGGCAGTAGCATGATGTCATCTACCCCCACCCCATATCCCGGCCGCAACCCCCCCCCCCTCCCCCCTAAGCAAAATCCTGGACACGCCACTGTTAAGGATTGAGCGCTAGCATGTCTTAGTCTGCGACCAGCAATTTCAAAGCCAATGCAGACAACGACCATGCCACTAAATAAAACGTACCGTGGTGGAGTTGCAGCAACTAGTTAACCCTTTCAGTGCCAGGCCAGATGTACGCTGTTGGCCGGGCCATTTTCATGATTTTTTTTAAATTAGTCGTATCACCTCAAACCAACTTGTTGTCCTGCGCTCTGCTCAAACTCGACATCAACATCTCCTATATCGTCAGGGCCGTCCAAGGCGACCAAGGCAGTTGGTACAACATCAACCACGTTGGACTTGTCCGCGAAATTTGTTCCGTCACGATCGCTGACGGCTATGTCCGCATCCGAGTCATCGCCTTCACTTTCGCAGCTCCAGTCATCGATGTCCGAGTCCATGATGGACTTGAGCACCTCTTCAGCCAATATCCGGCGACTCGCCGTGTCTGAGTGACAGCTAGAGAGACCTAAAGTATGTTCCGTCCAATTGTTTCTGAATCGAAATATGTTTTCGCCCGAGCGCTCTGAATGTATGCTCCCGCGCCCTTACTTACTCAAACACAGTGAGTGAGGTCTTGTTCAGTAGGGGAAACCCCTAGTTTCCCCTCGAAGAGCCAAAATCGGCCAAGCTAAATTGTAGAGCATGGCCGGTGAGATATAGTAGTGCGCACCACGAGGACGAGATATCTCGTTCTTGGCCAATCGTGTGGGGGTCTGTAGGACAAGTTATATCGTCCTTGGCACTGAAAGGGTTAAAGTGCTACTAGTGCAGTGGCCAAAATACGCTGAAAGTTTGGACAATTTAGGCGCCTGGAAGTAACTCTTACGCCGATTGCTGAGAATTAGATGACGATCCCGAATCAAATCTCTTGTATTATTATTATCATTGGGGGGGGGGGGGGGGGATCTTCGTCTATAGTTCTATTTCTTCTCCACTTTTCTGGTACTCTTGTGGTATCCTTATTCTGATACCAATGTCCAGTGGAGTTGCTGCCGACTCAGCAACATGGCTGCTCTGTAGCAACCACCTTCACCTTGTTCTCTATTGTGGGTCTAATGTCCTCTCATTGTCTATTTGCCGGTGGGGAAGGGTTATTCTTGTAAAACCGTGGACGAGAGAGCTTGGAAGCTCAGGGCCCTACGCTATGCTTTTTTGCCTTGATGACCTAGGCAAAAAATGCATGGGGATGTTTTTTGAATTTTTCATTTCTCCTATTATTTTAAGACATAACCTTGGATTCGAACCCGCACTATCGCCCTGAATGAATCCCCCGATAAACTTCGCATACATACTAATTCTTCCAAGTTGCTTCACGTTATGATCTTGAATTTGAAAACACAATTTGAATGTCGTGGCCAGCTGTTTGTGGTCAGCCATCTTTGTTTACTTCTTCTCGGCAGCCTAGATTCCATCTACCTCACGATTTTCTTCCAGTCAGTGAAAATGTTTTTTTCAACGTTTTTTACTGTTTCTTATTTATTACCCACTACTTTGTTTCTTTGGTTCCTAAATTAGCGGTTGGATGTATGGTTAGGTGAGTTGGATCTTCATGAAAACGAATCTGCATATGTGTGTATACGCGTGTGTGTATTTTTCTTCACTATGTGAGCCAGCGCGTACTAAAACATGACCACAGCTTTTTTGGAAAAAGTTTGAGAAAATCGAGATTTAAGTTTCGCGGGAAAAAATACGAAGTGCAGTGCATGCAACTCTGTTGTTGCTCTTTTCGGTCGAATGGAATGTTCCGGATGCATTTCTTTGTTGCAAATAAATTTATTTGTTCGAGTTTGTATTTCATGATGCGCTGAGTCGCGTAAAATTGATCGTCATCAATGTATTGAAGGAAGAGCCTAATGTCCTGCGGAGCGGAAGAAGACGACATCCTCGCACTCCAGCCGCAGGATGAATTATTTTGAGTATCTGCATCGGAAACAGAAGGAAGACGATGATGGCTACAGCGAAGAGTCATTTTGAGGACGACACTTTTATCGAACGTAAAAAAGTTAACGCTGGTAGCTCCACGATCTGCAGTAACGAGGATTTCTAGTCTGATGACAACCTGGCAATAGATTGGCATCGACAATGTTGTTTGTTTGGCTACTGTATTTCAGTATGCAACACTGACTTGGGAGGTGAGTCGGCCAATGATTTGGCCAGTGTGGACATCGCTGCATATATCTGGGACAATGCCAGTATTGGTTGCAAGTGCAAAAACAATCAATGGGCTCTGCTGCTCCCTGAAGTTGATAATTTGAATACCCTTATGCGGAACATTCGCTAGAACAAGCAGTAGGAAGCGAAAGCTGTACTCTCTGGCGACCGGAGAAAACCGTGTGCAGGTGGGCTTTGGTGTGGAGAATATGAGTGCAACGTTGAGTATGTTGGGGAAGACTGTGCGCAGCAGTGTATACAGTATCTGAAAGTACAGTTTGAGTGCGATGGAGAGTATGTGGAGTACCAACTTCTTGGGACGTCTACAGGTTTTGACCGTGTTTCGCTGGTGGTTCTCCAGTGGTGTTCCAACCAGGAGGTATTTCGGACACCCAGCTCAGCTGCCTATAGAAACTTTGGATGTGGCGGAGTACCTGTCAGCTCATGCTATAGAAAAACTGACCCAGAAAGGATGAACCAAGGGACATATCAACTGTATACAAAGATGACAATCCCATTGTTTTAAATAGAATTTCGCCAGTTCAACATTGCTGCATATAATACCATTGTAGCAACACTTAGACATGTCAGATCAATCTAAAACTTTTAGACAGTGAACATTAGGTGTGTTTGATCGTTTTTGAACAAAAACTGAACATCAAATTTTTGGTCTGTGGTCATATTTTAGCGTGCTCTGGCTCATGTATTTTTCTGGTTGTTCGTGTGTTTGTATATTTGTGTTTGTTCTCATCTCTAGCATACAGTTGTCCTGCGCCAACACTAGCTAACGGCTTAATAACGGGTACTGCTCCTGTATACACGGCGTCATGCAACACTGGATACCTGCTATCTGGCAGCACCACTGTCACTTGCATGGATGCAACCACAAACACACCTGTGCCAACATGTGTCGGTATGTAATCTATCTGTGTGGTGTGTTTGTTAATTGACCTTCTCAAGGTCCTGATCAGATCGTTATCAGGTTGTACCTTTGGACCAGGGTGACTCTTGGGAAATTATTCGGACTTACTATTCTACTGCCAGTTACCCTCTCAACAGCTTTCAAGTGAGAGCCAAGGATAAGAGAAACTTTGACATATTTCATCAAAATCCGGTTATAACGTTTCAAAAGTCACCTCATTCAAAATTCTGAGAGCCTGATGATCGTTATTATTTGTATTGATGAGAGGTGTCCTTTTGTTGATGACACTGTTCAATGAGGAAAAACGGCTGCTATGCGATTGTTGAACAATTCTATGACTACAGCGAATTTGTCATTTGTCATAAGATATTTTGATGCTGTAGGATAAAAATTGGACGAGGGACCTTAACCAGTGGCGGGTTAAGGGGGGCCGGGGGGGGGGGGGGGGGGGGGGGGGGGGCGGGGGGCACCCCCCCCCCCTCAAAGGTTTCGACCCAGATTTCGAAAAATTAAAGGCAGGGCTAGCTAGGCTCGGGTCGCGCACGCGCAGCTTGAAACGATCGTCCAAAAGCGGCTGCACGGTAGATCTACGGTGCTCGAGCTGGTGTTGATTGTAGATCTACAACCTACAGTCTGCATAGTACCGTGAGCTTGCACGGCTACAGAAACACGGCGACCTGACTGTGTACACTGTACTGTTCCCTGTGGGGATCCAGGGACGCGCTCGACGCGTCTTCAACGTACAAACATCGTACAAACATTGAAGAAAAGTCTTCGAGTCAACCAAAACACGATTCGAATGCCAAGGGTCCAGGCAATCATCCTCGTTCAAATCGTGTTTTGGTTGACTCGAAGACTTTTCTTCGATGTCTCAGCGACATCCCATAAGGCCAAGCTCTAGCCAGCAGAGCCTGGATGTTTTTTTGCAAAGCGTACCTGTGGCGGCGCAACTCTTGCTGCCGCTCCAACAGGAAACAGTGGGAGTAATGAAGTTCAAGTCGCTGTTATTCCAGTTGAACTTTCGGAGCGGACTGACAGTCACACTCCGCCAGACGTGGAAGCACCTGTTATCAGCGAGCAGCCAGAACATGATGAAGAACAGCGCACGGTGACAAGTGGACATGGTACCACTGCCTATGTAAAAATGCTGTGAGCAGTGAGAAATCGTTGGACTCGCATAAATTGCTTCGCTCACATTATAATGGCAAATTAGGAGTAACAGTTTACAATCAGGGGCGTCGGACACGCTACGGTCACTTCAAACGGTATTGACCGTACCACTATTTGTCCCGGGCATGCTAGCTCTACCCTGGGAATAAACAAAAGGCACTGATTTGTGCTCTAAAAGTTTGAAAATATTCAGAGGAGCCACCAACTCCACGAGTAAATTGTACTTGACGTGGTTGCCCTTACCTAACTAAAATACCTTCCGACATTGCCCCTGACGATGATTATGTACAATGTTGCTGCATGTACAGAAATACTGCTCGTGGTGTGTGAGATTTACGGCTCCTTGACATCGGCTTTAAAAAATTGCTGACCTGGGGCAGTAGCATGATGTCATCTACCCCCACCCCATATCCCGGCCGCAACCCCCCCCCCCCCTCAGCAAAATCCTGGACACGCCACTGTTAAGGATTGAGCGCTAGCATGTTTTAGTCTTCGACCAGCAATTTCAAAGCCAATGCAGACAACGACCATGCCACTAAATAAAACGTACCGTGGTGGAGTTGCAGCAACTAGTTCACCCTTTCAGTGCCAGGCCAGATGTACGCTGTTGGCCGGGCCATTTTCATGATTTTCTTTAAATTAGTCGTATCACCTCAAACCAACTTGTTGTCCTGCGGTCTGCTCAAACTCGACATCGACATCTCCTATATCGTCAGGGCCGTCCAAGGCGACCAAGGCAGTTGGTACGACATCGACCACGGCGGACTTGTCCGCGAAATTTGTTCCGTCATGATCGCTGACGGCTATGTCCGCATCCGAGTCATCTCCTTCACTTTCGCATCTCCAGTCATCGATGTCCGAGTCCATGATGGACTTGAGCACCTCTTCAGTCAATATCCGGCGACTCGCCGTGTCTGAGTGACAGCTAGAGAGACCTAAAGTATGTTCCGTCCAATTGTTTCTGAATCGAAATATGTTTTTCGCCCGAGCACTCTGAATGTATGCTCCCGCGCCCTTACTTACTCAAACACAGTGAGTGAGGTCTTGTTCAGTAGGGGAAACCCCTAGTTTCCCCTCGAAGAGCCACAATCGGCCAAGCTAGATTGTAGAGCATGGCCGGTGAGATATAGTAGTGCGCACTACGAGGACGAGATATCTCGTTCTTGGCCAATCGTGTGGGGGTCTGTAGGACAAGTTATATCGTCCTTGGCACTGAAAGGGTTAAAGTGCTACTAGTGCAGTGGCCAAAACACGCTGAAAGTTTGGACAATTTAGGCGCCTGGAAGTAACTCTTACGCCGATTGCCGAGAATTAGATGACGATCCCCGAATCAAATCTCTTGTATTATTATTATCATTTGGGGGGGGGGGGGGGGGGATCTTCGTCTATAGTTCTATTTCTTCTCCACTTTTCTGGTACTCTTGTGGTATCCTTATTCTGATACCAATAACCAGTGGAGTTGCTGCCGACTCAGCAACATGGCTGCTCTGTAGCAACCACCTTCACCTTGTTCTCTATTGTGGGTCTAATGTCCTCTCATTGTCTATTTGCCGGTGGGGAAGGGTTATTCTTGTAAAACCGTGGACGAGAGAGCTTGGAAGCTCAGGGCCCTACGCTATGCTTTTTTGCCTTGATGACCTAGGCAAAAAATGCATGGGGATGTTTTTTGAATTTTTCATTTCTCCTATTATTTTAAGACATAACCTTGGATTCGAACCCGCACTATCGCCCTGCATGAATCCCCCGATACACTTCGCATACATACTAATTCTTCCAAGTTGCTTCACGTTATGATCTTGAATTTTGAAAACACAATTTGAATGTCGTGGCCAGCTGTTTGTGGTCAGCCATCTTTGTTTACTTCTTCTCGGCAGCCTAGATTCTATCTACCTCACGATTTTCTTCCAGTCAGTGAAAATGTTTTTTTCAACGTTTTTTACTGTTTTATTAGTGCAATTAGGAGTATAATCGATGCAGACATGGCCAGACAACAACGAGTTCATGGAATTTTTAGGATTTTTATGTTATTCAAAATCGATTTCGTGAGATATTTAGTGCAATACTACGACAAACATGGCGTTTCCGCAAGACTTTGTTCAGAACACTATCTGTTCACTATTGTATCTCCGCTTAAGGTATTTAACCCCTTTAGCGCGAGCGTCTACGACGCACATGAGTTGCATGCCCCACGGCCGTCGTACTAGTACGACGCGCGCTGTACACTGTACAGTGAACCTGCATCTCATAGTCGTGGGGTCCGTGTTGAGTCCATAGTGACTTGTTCAAACTATCGTAACTCACTCAATACTTGGTCGATTCTCACAATCGAAACATGTATCTGCAAGAGAAAACTCTCAGCTGGCGATAGAAACAATCGCCGAAGCGATGCGACCACCGGTTGTTGAGATATGCGACTCGACACGGCAAATTTCAACTCGATTTATTTGCGCAGTCTGCAGAACGCGCATCTCATAGTCGTGGGGTCCGTGTTGAGTCCATAGTGACTTGTTCAAACTATCGTAACTCACTCAATACTTGGTCGATTCTCACAATCGAACATGTATCTGCAAGAGAAAACTCTCAGCTGGCGATAGAAACAATCGCCGAAGCGATGCGACCACCGGTTGTGAGATATGCGACTCGACACGGCAAATTTCAACTCGATTATTTGCGCAGTCTGCAGAACGCGCATCTCATAGTCGTGGGGTCCGTGTTGAGTCCATAGTGACTTGTTCAAACTATCGTAACTCACTCAATACTTGGTCGATTCTCACAATCGAAACATGTATCTGCAAGAGAAAACTCTCAGCTGGCGATAGAAACAATCGCCGAAGCGATGCGACCACCGGTTGTTGAGATATGCGACTCGACACGGCAAATTTCAACTCGATTTATTTGCGCAGTCTGCAGAACGCGTATTTTCCATCATGGATCACTTGTGCGCTACCTGCTGCCATGGAAACAAGATTCAAATGATGGTAGTGGATCCCGTGAGTCCCTCACAAAAAATTTGAGCTCGATACGAGCAAGGAGACCGAAATGGCAGCTGAATATTTGAGCTTGGTTAGTCTTGGCCGTGCTCAAGTCTGTCGAGCGCGTGGATGAAGTTTGCCAGACTGTAGCACGGGGTTTTGGTTTCGCTCCGAGCTAGGTTTGACACCAGTTTGTCACTCGTCTCAAGACCTTTCCAGGAAGCTCAAGATCGTGGAATTCGTCCAAGGGAAGGTAAAGTTATCGATCCTTGAGCAGCTAGTACTTTCATGGGAAAATGCGACTTTTACAGGTGTTGTCGCGTGGGGCGCGCTCAGGTAGCGTCGTGCTAAAGAGGTTAAAGAGTCGGCGTGGAGAAAGCAATTTTATTAGTGCAATTAGGAGTATAATCGATGCAGACATGGCCAGACAACAACGAGTTCATGGAATTTTTAAGGATTTTTATGTTATTCAAAATCGATTTTCGTGAGATATTTAGTGCAATACTACGACAAACATGGCGTTTCCGCAAGACTTTGTTCAGAACAACTATCTGTTCACTATTGTATCTCCGCTTAAGGTATTTAAAGAGTCGGCGTGGAGAAAGCAATTTTATTAGTGCAATTAGGAGTATAATCGATGCAGACATGGCCAGACAACAACGACTTCATGGAATTTTTAAGGATTTTTATGTTATTCAAAATCGATTTTCGTGAGATATTTAGTGCAATACTACGACAAACATGGCGTTTCCGCAAGACTTTGTTCAGAACAACTATCTGTTCACTATTGTATCTCCGCTTAAGGTATTTAAAGAGTCGGCGTGGATAGTATTGCACTAAATATCTCACGAAAATCGATTTTGAATAACATAAAAATCCTTAAAAATTCCATGAACTCGTTGTTGTCTGGCCATGTCTGCATCGATTATACTCCTAATTGCACTAATAAAATTGCTTTCTCCACGCCGACTCTTTTTACTGTTTCTTATTTATTACCCACTACTTTGTTTCTTTGGTTGCTAAATTAGCGGTTGGATGTATGGTTAGGTGAGTTGGATCTTCAGGAAAACGAATCTGCATATGTGTGTATACGCGTGTGTGTATTTTTCTTCACTATGTGAGCCAGCGCGTACTAAAACATGACCACAGCTTTTTTTGGAAAAAGTTTGAGAAAATCGAGATTTAAGTTTCGCGGGAAAAATACGAAGTGCAGTGCATGCAACTCGAGTCGCTGTTGTTGCTCTTTTCGGTCGAATGGAATGTTCCGGATGCATTTCTTTGTTGCAAATAAATTTATTTGTTCGAGTTTGTATTTCATGATGCGCTGAGTCGCGTAAAATTGATCGTCATCAATGTATTGAAGGAAGAGCCTAATGTCCTGCGGAGCGGAAGAAGACGACATCCTCGCACTACAGCCGCAGGATGAATTCTTTTGAGTATCTGCATCGGAAACAGAAGGAAGACGATGATGGCTACAGCGAAGAGTCATTTTGAGGACGACACTTTTATCGAACGTAAAAGGTTAACGCTGGTAGCTCCACGATCTGCAGTAACGAGGATTTCTAGTCTGATGACAACCTGGCAATAGATTGGCATCGACAATGTTGTTTGTTTGTATACTGTATTTCAGTATGCAACACTGACTTGGGAGGTGAGTCGGCCAATGATTTGGCCAGTGTGGACATCGCTGCATATATCCGGGACAATGCCAGTATTGGTTGCAAGTGCAAAAACAATCAATGGGCTCTGCTGCTCCCTGAAGTCGATAATTTGAATACCCTTATGCGGAACATTCGCTAGAACAAGCAGTAGGAAGCGAAAGCTGTACTCCCTGGCGACCGGAGATAACCGTGTGCAGATGGGCATTGGTGTGGAGAATATGAGTGCAACGTTGAGTATGTTGAGGAAGACTGTGCGCAGCAGTGTATACAGTATCTGAAAGTACAGTTTGAGTGCGATGGAGAGTATGTGGAGTACCAACTTCTTGGGACGTCTACAGATTTTGACCGTGTTTCGCTGGTGGTTCTCCAGTGGTGTTCCAACCAGGAGGTATTTCGGACACCCAGCTCAGCTGCCTATAGAAACTTTGGATGTGGCGGAGTACCTGTCAGCTCATGCTATAGAAAAACTGACCCAGAAAGGATGAACCAAGGGACATATCAACTGTATACAAAGATGAAAATCCCATTGTTTTAAATAGAATTTCGCCAGTTCAACATTGCTGCATATAATACCATTGTAGCAACACTTAGACATGTCAGATCAATCTAAAACTTTTAGACAGTGAATATTAGGTGTGTTTGATCGTTTTTGAACAAAAAACTGAAAATCAAATTTTGGTCTGTGGTCATATTTTAGCGTGCTCTGGCTCATGTATTTTTCTGGTTGTTCGTGTGTTTGTATATTTGTGTTTGTTTTATCTCTAGCATACAGTTGTCCTGCGCCAACACTAGCTAACGGCTTAATAACGGGTACTGCTCCCTGTTAACACGGCGTCATGCAACATGGATACCTGCTATCTGGCAGCACCACTGTCACTTGCATTGATGCAACCACAAACACACCTGTGCCAACATGTGTCGGTATGTAATCTATCTGTGTGGTGTGTTTGTTAATTGACCTTCTCAAGGTCCTGATCAGATCGTTATCAGGTTGTACCTTTGGACCAGGGTGACTCTTGGGAAATTATTCGGACTTGCTATTCTACTGCCAGTTACCCTCTCAACAGCTTTCAAGTGAGAGCCAAGGATAAGAGAAACTTTGACATATTTCATCAAAATCCGGTTATAACGTTTCAAAAGTCACCTCATTCAAAATTCTGAGAGCCTGATGATCGTTATTATTTGTATTGATGAGAGGTGTCCTTTTGTTGATGACACTGTTCAATGAGGAAAAACGGCTGCTATGCGATTGTTGAACAATTCTATGACTACAGCGAATTTGTCATTTGTCATAGGATATTTTGATGCTGTAGGATAAAAATTGGACGAGGGAACCAGTGGCGGGTTAAGGGGGGGGGGGTGGCGGGGGGCACCCCCCCCCCCCCCTCAAAAGTTTCGACCCAGATTTCGAAAAATTAAAGGCAGGGCTAGCTAGGCTCGGGTGCGCACGCGCAGCTTGAAACGATCGTCCAAAAGCGGTTGCACGGTAGATGTACGGTGCTCGAGCTGGTGTTGATTGTAGATCTACAACCTACAGTCTACATAGTACAGTGAGCTTGCACGGCTACAGAAACACGGTGACCTGACTGTGTACACTGTACTGTTCCCTGTGGGGATCCCGGGACGCGCTCGACGCGTCTTCAACGTACAAACATCGTACAAACATTGAAGAAAAGTCTTCGAGTCAACCAAAACACGATTCGAATGCCAAGGGTCCAGGCAATCATCCTCGTTCAAATCGTGTTTGGTTGACTCGAAGACTTTTCTTCGATGTCTCAGCGACATCGCATAAGGCCAAGCTCTAGCCAGCAGAGCCTGGATGTTTTTTTTGCAAAGCGTACCTGTGGCGGCGCAACTCTTGCTGCCGCTCCAACAGGAAACAGTGGGAGTAATGAAGTTCAAGTCGCTGTTATTCCAGTTGAACTTTCGGAGCGGACTGACAGTCACACTCCGCCAGACGTGGAAGCACCTGTTATCAGCGAGCAGCCAGAACATGATGAAGAACAGCGCACGGTGACAAGTGGACATGGTACCACTGCCTATGTAAAAAATGCTGTGAGCAGTGAGAAATCGTTGGACTCGCATAAATTGCTTCGCTCACATTATAATGGCAAATTAGAAGTAACAGTTTACAATCAGGGGCGTCGGACACGCTACGGTCACTACAAACGGTATTGACCGTATCACTATTTGTCCCGGGCATGGTAGCTCTACCCTGGGAATAAACAAAAGGCACTGATTTGTGCTCTAAAGTTGAAAATATTCAGAGGGCCACCAACTCCACGAGTAAATTGTACTTGACGTGGTTGCCCGTACCTAACGTTAGGTACGGTTCCGACGTTGCCCCTGACGATGATTATGTACAATATTGCTGCATGTACAGAAATACTGCTCGTGGTGTGTGAGATTTACGGCTCCTTGACATCGGCTTTAAAAAATTGCTGACCTGGGGCAGTAGCATGATGTCATCTACCCCCACCCCAAATCCCGGCCGCAACCCCCCCCCCCCCCCCCGCCCTCAGCAAAATCCTGGACACGCCACTGTTAAGGATTGAGCGCTAGCATGTTTTAGTCTTCGACCAGCAATTTCAAAGCCAATGCAGTCAACGACCATGCCACTAAATAAAACGTACCGTGGTGGAGTTGCAGCAACTAGTTAACCCTTTCAGTGCCAGGCCAGATGTACGCTGTTGGCCGGGCCATTTTCATGATTTTCTTTAAATTAGTCGTATCACCTCAAACCAACTTGTTGTCCTGCGGTCTGCTCAAACTCGACATCGACATCTCCTATATCGTCAGGGCCGTCCAAGGCGACCAAGTCAGTTGGTACGACATCGACCACGGCGGACTTGTCCGCGAAATTTGTTCCGTCACGATCGCTGACGGCTATGTCCGCATCCGAGTCATCGCCTTCACTTTCGCAGCTCCAGTCATCAATGTCCGAGTCCATGATGGACTTGAGCACCTCTTCAGCCGATATTCGGCGACTCGCCGTGTCTGAGTGACAGCTAGAGAGACCTAAAGTATGTTCCGTCCAATTGTTTCTGAATCGAAATATGTTTTCGCCCGAGCGCTCTGAATGTATGCTCCCGCGCCCTTACTTTCTCAAACACAGTGAGTGAGGTCTTGTTCAGTAGGGAAACCCCTAGTTTCCCCTCGAAGAGCCACAATCGGCCAAGCTAGATTGTAGAGCATGGCCGGTGAGATATAGTAGTGCGCACTACGAGGACGAGATATCTCGTTCTTGGCCAATCGTGTGGGGGTCTGTAGGACAAGTTATATCGTCCTTGGCACTGAAAGGGTTAAAGTGCTACTAGTGCAGTGGCCAAAACACGCTGAAAGTTTGGACAATTTAGGCGCCTAGAAGTAACTCTTACGCCGATTGCTGAGAATTAGATGACGATCCCGAATCAAATCTCTTGTATTATTATTATCGTTGGGGGGGGGGGGGGGGAGAATCTTCGTCTATAGTTCTATTTCTCCTCCACTTTTCTGGAACTCTTGTGGTATCCTTATTCTGATACCAATGTCCAGTGGAGTTGCTGCCGACTCAGCAACATGGCTGCTCTGTAGCAACCACCTTCACCTTGTTCTCTATTGTGGGTCTAATGTCCTCTCATTGTCTATTTGCCGGTGGGGAAGGGTTATTCTTGTAAAACCGTGGACGAGAGAGCTTGGAAGCTTAGGGCCCTACGCTATGCTTTTTTGCCTTGATGACCTAGGCAAAAAAATGCATGGGGATTTTATAAATTTTTCATTTCTCCTATTATTTTAAGACATAACCTTGGATTCGAACCCGCACTATCGCCCTGCATGAATCCCCCGATACACTTCGCATACATACTAATTCTTCCAAGTTGCTTCACGTTATGATCTTGCATTTGAAAACACAATTTGAATGTTGTGGCCAGCTGTTTGTGGCCAACCATCTTTGTTTACTCCTACTCGGCAGCCTAGATTGCATCTACCTCACGATTAACTTCCAGTCAGTGAAAATGTTTTTTTCAACTTTTTTTACTGCATCTGCGCCTTGATCCAAGAGGGTGGTGGCGTTCCTGCGGATGCGGAAAACTGGGCCTTTGGCCGAGTCTCACGCGAACCGTGAATTTTTTTTTTTTTTTTTTTTTTACTGTTTCTTCTTTATTACCCACTACTTTGTTTCTTTGGTTCCTAAATTAGCGGTTGAATGTATGGTTAGGTGAGTTGGATCTTCATGAAAACGAATCTGCATATGTGTGCATACGCGTGTGTGTATTTTTCTTCACTATGTGAGCCAGAGCGTGCTAAAACATGACCACAGCTTTTTTGGAAAAAGTTTGAGAAAATCGAGATTTAAGTTTCGCGGGAAAAAATACGAAGTGCAGTGCATGCAACTCGAGTCGCTGTTGTTGCTCTTTTCGGTCAAATGGAATGTTCCGGATGCATTTCTTTGTTGCAAATAAATTTCTTTGTTCGATTTTGTATTTCATGATGCGCTGAGTCGCGTAAAATTGATTGTCATCAATGTATTGAAGGAAGAGCCTAATGTCCTGCGGAGCGGAAGAAGACGACATCTTCGCACTCCATGCGCAGGATGAATTATTTTGAGTATCTGCATCGGAAACAGGAGTAAGACGATGATGGCTACAGCGAAGAGTCATTTTGAAGACGACACTTTTATCGAACGTAAAAAATTTAACGCTGGTAGGTCCACGATCTGTAGTGACGAGGATTTCTAGTCTGATGACAACCTGGCAATAGATTGGCATCGACAATGTTGTTTGTTTGTATACTGTATTTCGGTATGCAACACTGACTTGGGAGGTGAGTCGGCCAATGATTTGGCCAGTGTGGACATCGCTGCATATATCCGGGACAATGCCAGTATTGGTTGCAAGTGCAAAACAATCAATGGGCTCTGCTGCTCCCTGAAGTCGATAATTTGAATACCCTTATGCGGAACATTCGCTAGAACAAGCAGTAGGCAGCGAAAGCAGTACTCTCTGGCGACCGGAGAAAACCGTGTGCAAATGGGCTTTGGTGTGGAGAATATGAGTGCAACGTTGAGTATGTTGAGAAAGACTGTGCGCAGCAGTGTATACAGTATCTGAAAGTACAGTTTGAGTGCGATGGAGAGTATGTGGAGTACCAACTTCTTGGGACGTCTGCAGATTTTGACCGTGTTTCGCTGGTGGTTCTCCAGTGGTGTTCCAACCAGGAGGTATTTCGGACACCCAGCTCAGCTGCCTATAGAAACTTTGGATGTGGCGGAGTACCTGTCAGCTCATGCTATAGAAAAACTGACCCAGAAAGGATGAACCAAGGGACATATCAACTGTATACAAAGATGACAATCCCATTGTTTTAAATATAATTTCGCCAGTTCAACATTGCTGCATATAATACCATTGTAGCAACACTTAGACATGTCAGATCAATCTAAAACCTTTAGACAGTGAACATGAGGTGTGTTTGATCGTTTTTGAACAAAAACTGAACATCAAATTTTTGGTCTGTGGTCCAATTTTAGCGTGCTCTGGCTCATGTATTTTTCTGGTTGTTCGTGTGTTTGTATATTTGTGTTTGTTCTCATCTCTAGCATACAGTTGTCCTGCGCCAACACTAGCTAACGGCTTAATAACGGGTACTGCTCCTGTATACACGGCGTCATGCAACACTGGATACCTGCTATCTGGCAGCACCACTGTCACTTGCATGGATGCAACCACAAACACACCTGTGCCAACATGTGTCGGTATGTAATCTATCTGTGTGGTGTGTTTGTTAATTGACCTTCTCAAGGTCCTGATCAGATCGTTATCAGGTTGTACCTTTGGACCAGGGTGACTCTTGGGAAATTATTCGGACTTACTATTCTACTGCCAGTTACCCTCTCAACAGCTTTCAAGTGAGAGCCAAGGATAAGAGAAACTTTGACATATTTCATCAAAATCCGGTTATAACGTTTCAAAAGTCACCTCATTCAGAATTCTGAGAGCCTGATGATCGTTATTATTTGTATTGATGAGAGGTGTCCTTTTGTTGATGACACTGTTCAATGAGGAAAAACGGCTGCTATGCGATTGTTGAACAATTCTATGACTACAGCGAATTTGTCATTTGTCATAGGATATTTTGATGCTGTAGGATAAAAATTGGACGAGGGACCTTAACCAGTGGCGGGTTAACCCTTTGAGCACGCGTGACGTTCTGACACGTCATGACCACTGCCACTGTGACACGCGTGACGTTCTAGAACGTCACGAGTCTGTACGGTACTACATCGATTATGCTGTTCTTCCGTGGCGTCGATCTAAGCTGTACCGCTGCACAGTGGACTCCTAGTATGTACGAGTACAGTATAAAAAAAACTGCGAGTCGCTCCGTAAGTTTGAACTGGAGTTACATGCGCGTGCATACATTTCAAAAAATTGAAATTTGGCTTGGCCGATCTGTAGAGATGGCTCGTCGTAGGTTTGCCGCGGAAGAGGCCCTCCAGGAGGTTTTCATGGATCCTGACAGCGATGTCGAGCCGTGGTCAGGGGATGATAGCTTCGATTCTGGCGACGGGAGTGACGAGGAGTCGCTCCCGGATCTCGTATCGATACCTGGTTCGCCTGACGATATTGGTGTGACGCACGGCGACGAGCGCGATCAACACGACGTAGGTGACGGCGCTGCCAGTGCCGCGAGCGGGGAGATTGAGAGCGACGAGGACCTTTCATGCAAGAGCCATGTCCTTGCCACCGAGAATCTGAGCGCCCATGACGATGGTTCTGAAGGTAAGAATAAATTTGACGACTTGGAGAATAAATATTTGCAATGTGAAAATTTGAAAATTTGAAAATTATCACGACTTGATGTGCAATGCGTGTACTGGCTACAGACTACACTATGGTATATTTAGGTATCTCTTTACATATGTGCCACACATGTAGGTATTTGGAAAAAAGAAGATAACACACCTCTGCTACCTCAGTTCACTGGCACACCTGGCATGCAAGTGGAAATGCCTGACGATGCGACTCCATACGAGTATGTGCGCTTGTACTTCACCGATGCTATGTGGAGTCTACTTGTTGACGAGACCAATCGCTTTGCCCGACGGTACATAGACGCTAATCTGGAAACCCTGGCACCGCGCGCCCTTGCTCGGAGCTGGAAGCCGGTGACCATGTCCGAAATGAAGATCTTCCTGGCGCTCTATCTGACGACAGGCATTCTCTGGAAGCCAGCACTGGACCAGTACTGGAGTAAGGATGCACTGATTTCCACGCCATCGTTCTCGGCTGCCATGAAGCGGGACAGATTCATGAGTATCCTCATGTTTCTGCATTTCTCGGACAACGCTGCACCGGACGAAGCTGACAAGCTACGGAAAATTCGCCGCCTGTTAGATCTGTTTATCGATCGTTTTCAGGCAGTGTACACGCCACGCAAAACCATCTGCATCGACGAGGAATTGGTGGCGTGGAAGGGCCGACTGAGCTTTCGCCAATTTATTCCATCTAAGCGTGCTCGATTTGGTATCAAGATTTTTGCCCTGTGCGAGGATTCTGGATATATGTATAACTTCATTGTGTACGTCGGCAAAGATAATGTCAATCTCAGCCCGGACATGGTGAAGCAGCTGGGAGCATCGGGCGCTGTCGTCGCGAAGCTGATGATTCCACTTGAGAATCAGGGACACCACCTGTATGTGGACAATTGGTATTCCAGCCTGCCACTCGCCAAGTACCTCAGTCAGCACCAGACCGGTGTATGCGGCACCATCCGCAAAAACCGGGTTGGTTTGCCGAAGCGACTGACTGGCTATAAGCAGCTGAAGAAATCAGAATACACTTACCGTAGCTCGCAAGGAGCGCTTGTCGTAAAGCTTCAGGACACAAAGGAAGTCATGTTCCTCTCCACTTTGCACCGTGCCAATGCTGTGCCAACTGGCAAGCGTGATCGAGAAGGAAAGGCTGTCAAGAAGCTACAGGTAGTCCATGACTACAACCGGTACATGGGGTGGTGTGGACCGGAACGACGCCATGCTCTCAAACTACACTGCTGCACGCAAATCCACCAAGTGGTACAAAAAGCTCGGCACACATATCCTGGAGGAAGGGCTACTGAACGCGTTCATCTTGTACCAGAAAGCTGGCGGCAAGCGAAAACACTATGATTTTATTCGAATTGCGATGAGTGAGCTGTTGGCCGAAGGTGTCAAGGGACGACATCTAGATGCAGCAGCACCAACAGCAGCAGCGCCAACAGCGGCAGCAGCAGCACCTGCAGCAGCAGCGCCAACAGCGGCAGCAGCAGCAGCAGCACCTGCAGCAGCAGAAGCACCAGCAGCAGTACCAACAGCAACAGCATCCGGACCAGCTCCAGCTGAGCCAACGGAACCTCATCCGGCAGCAGCGACAGCAGCAGCAGTAGTTGAACCGCTACCAGCAGCGGCAGAGATTGCGGAGCCAGCCCAAGTATGCCCAGCTGCCCCAGGACGCCATCCTGATGTTGTTGCAGCAGCACCGACTCGCACACAGACTCACCACCAAAGCCCAAGCAGGTTGACTGGCCGTCACCATCCAGCATTTGTCCCACCAACACCCAAGAAGGAAAAGCCGCTGAAGCGGTGCGTCGTTTGCTGGGCGAGAGGCAGGCGCAGGGAGAGCCGTGAGTGCTGCATGTCATGTCCGGGGCAGCCAGGCCTGTGTTCAGTGCCTTGCTTTGGAATCTACCACACCGAGTATGACTATGGCCAAATTTGATGGTGCTGGAGCAAAGGAGCACAGCAGTTCACTGTTATCATGTACATACTGTATATATTGTAAATATAACGCCAAATTAGCGTAAAACTACCTTTCTGAAAACGGTCATAACTTTTGTAATTTTTGTTGTATTTCCAAAACAAAATCAGTTCTGTGCTCAGGATACATGAAAGAATCGTTTGAAATCAAGTTTGCTCACATAGAGTGAATTTAAAATTTTGTCATTTTTGTACTGCGTGGCAGAGGTTTTCAATGGGCCCGGACTCAAAAGGTTAAGGGGGGGGGGGGGGGGCGGGGGGCACCCCCCCCCCCTCAAAAGTTTCGACCCAGATTTCGAAAAATTAAAGGCAGGGCTAGCTAGGCTCGGGTCGCGCACGCGCAGCTTGAAACGATCGTCCAAAAGCGGTTGCACGGTAGATCTACGGTGCTCGAGCTGGTGTTGATTGTAGATCTACAACCTACAGTCTACATAGTACAGTGAGCTTGCACGGCTACAGAAACACGGTGACCTGACTGTGTACACTGTACTGTTCCCTGTGGGGATCCCGGGACGCGCTCGACGCGTCTTCAACGTACAAACATCGTACAAACATTGAAGAAAAGTCTTCGAGTCAACCAAAACACGATTCGAATGCCAAGGGTCCAGGCAATCATCCTCGTTCAAATCGTGTTTTGGTTGACTCGAAGACTTTTCTTCGATGTCTCAGCGACATCCCATAAGGCCAAGCTCTAGCCAGCAGAGCCCTGGATGTTTTTTTTGCAAAGCGTACCTGTGGCGGCGCAACTCTTGCTGCCGCTCCAACAGGAAACAGTGGGAGTAATGAAGTTCAAGTCGCTGTTATTCCAGTTGAACTTTCGGAGCGGACTGACAGTCACACTCCGCCAGACGTGGAAGCACCTGTTATCAGCGAGCAGCCAGAACATGATGAAGAACAGCGCACGGTGACAAGTGGACATGGTACCACTGCCTATGTAAAAAATGCTGTGAGCAGTGAGAAATCGTTAGACTCGCATAAATTGCTTCGCTCACATTATAATGGTAAATTGGAAGTAACAGTTTACAATCAGGGGCGTCGGACACGCTACGGTCACTACAAACGGTATTGACCGTACCACTATTTGTCCCGGGCATGGTAGCTCTACCCTGGGAATAAACAAAAGGCACTGATTTGTGCTCTAAAGTTTGGAAATATTCAGAGGAGCCACCAACTCCACGAGTAAATTGTACTTGACGTGGTTGCCCGTACCTAACTAAAATACCTTCCGACGTTGCCCCTGACGATGATTATGTACAATATTGCTGCATGTACAGAAATACTGCTCGTGGTGTGTGAGATTTACGGCTCCTTGACATCGGCTTTTAAAAATCGCTGACCTGGGGCAGTAGCATGATGTCATCTACCCCCACCCCATATCCCGGCCGCACCCCCCCCCCCTCAGCAAAATCCTGGACACGCCACTTTTAAGGATTGAGCGCTAGCATGTTTTAGTCTTTGACCAGCAATTTCAAAGCCAATGCAGACAACGACCATGCCACTAAATAAAACGTACCGTGGTGGAGTTGCAGCAACTAGTTAACCCTTTCAGTGCCAGGCCAGATGTACGCTGTTGGCCGGGCCATTTTCATGATTTTCTTTAAATTAGTCGTATCACCTCAAACCAACTTGTTGTCCTGCGGTCTGCTCAAACTCGACATCGACATCTCCTATATCGTCAGGGCCGTCCAAGGCGACCAAGGCAGTTGGTACGACATCGACCACGGCGGACTTGTCCGCGAGATTTGTTCCGTCACGATCGCTGACGGCTATGTCCGCATCCGAGTCATCGCCTTCACTTTCGCAGCTCCAGTCATCAATGTCCGAGTCCATGATGGACTTGAGCACCTCTTCAGCCGATATTCGGCGACTCGCCGTGTCTGAGTGACAGCTAGAGAGACCTAAAGTATGTTCCGTCCAATTGTTTCTGAATCGAAATATGTTTTCGCCCGAGCGCTCTGAATGTATGCTCCCGCGCCCTTACTTTCTCAAACACAGTGAGTGAGGTCTTGTTCAGTAGGGGAAACCCCTAGTTTCCCCGCGAAGAGCCACAATCGGCCAAGCTAGATTGTAGAGCATGGCCGGTGAGATATAGAAGTGCGCACTACGAGGACGAGATATCTCGTTCTTGGCCAATCGTGTGGGGGTCTGTAGAACAAGTTATATCGTCCTTGGCACTGAAAGGGTTAAAGTGCTACTAGTGCAGTGGCCAAAACACGCTGAAAGTTTGGACAATTTAGGCGCCTGGAAGTAACTCTTACGCCGATTGCCGAGAATTAGATGACGATCCCGAATCAAATCTCTTGTATAATTATTATCATTGGGGGGGGGGGGGGGGGATCTTCGTCTATAGTTCTATTTCTTCTCCACTTTTCTGGTAATCTTGTGGCATCCTTATTCTGATGCCAATGTCCAGTGGAGTTGCTGCCGACTCAGCAACATGGCTGCTCTGTAGCAACCACCTTCACCTTGTTCTCTATTGTGGGTCTAATGTCCTCTCATTGTCTATTTGCCGGTGGGGAAGGGTTATTCTTGTAAAACCGTGGACGAGAGAGCTTGGAAGCTCAGGGCCCTACGCTATGCTTTTTTTGCCTTGATGACCTGGGCAAAAAATGCATGGGGGATGTTTTTTTGAATTTTTCATTTCTCCTATTATTTTAAGACATAACCTTGGATTCGAACCCGCACTATCGCCCTGCATGAATCCCCCGATACACTTCGCATACATACTAATTCTTCCAAGTTGCTTCACGTTATGATCTTGAATTTGAAAACACAATTTGAATGTCGTGGCCAGCTGTTTGTGGTCAGCCATCTTTGTTTACTTCCTCTCGGCAGCCTAGATTCCATCTACCTCACGATTTTCTTCCAGTCAGTGAAAATGTTTTTTTCAACGTTTTTTACTGTTTCTTATTTATTACCCACTACTTTGTTTCTTTGGTTCCTAAATTAGCGGTTGGATGTATGGTTAGGTGAGTTGGATCTTCAGGAAAACGAATCTGCATATGTGTGTATACGCGTGTGTGTATTTTCTTCACTATGTGAGCCAGCGCGTACTAAAACATGACCACAGCTTTTTTTGGAA